ACGAGTAGCAAAAAGAAATCTGGAAGGTGAAGGATTTAATTATTTTGAGAATTGGAATAGATGATCTTTAAAGATACTCCATGCCTAAATTCCATGAACTCTATCTTTCAATGTGGGAAAGAGATACTCATACAGGTGGAATAAGTGAGTAAATTTACTTTCCCGGTAGTTACTCTAAAGGATTCCGATGGAATTAACTGAGTCGGAGCTGTAAAACAATTAGTAGGGAAAATACCATTATGCATTAACTGTATTCACTCAGCTATGCCTATAACAATGTCAGACTTCGTATCTGAATATTGAAACACAGAACTTTGGGAAATGGGCTATGCTGCAAGTAAACACATGGCCAAGCTGCTATAGAACCTGTTGATTCTGGATTGGCCTTGTCAGCCATCTTTGGACCTAGAGATAAAACAATCATGGAAGACAATCATCCTTGACTCAGAAGAATTGCCGATGATGGCTAACATTGATTCTAATTCTAAGTGCCATAACACATATGCAGTTTTGTGTCTGCTAATCAAACAGATATATACTACTGCTTATTTGAAAAAAGTTTGACAGAACATTTCTGTATAATCATGTCCACAGCTGTTTGCCTTCTTTGCAATAATAATATGCAGTAGTGTAAGTAAAGGTGGGAGAGTGGGGCACCAGTTGCCAACGTATAGACCGTGTCCGCATGAGCAGAGGCACGCACCTGTGGCAGCACAAATAGTAGTGGCACAAATTTGTGCTACCATTTTTTGCTGTAGTGCTGGCCCCTAAAAAACACCTTTTGCCGGACTTTGCTCCAACTTGCCCTTAATCTATTGAGAGAGCTCACTGACCTGCATCAGTGTTTGAGAAAGGCCCAAGTGTGTGCAGTGCTGTGTGAATATTTTTCTTCAAGGTCCTTGTAGGAGATTATATATCATGTGGATGAGCAATGGAAATCTCCGTTTGTGCATGAAATGTTTTTATTAAGCTGAAACAGAAAGATTTGATTTTTTTGAGTTTATTTTTAGGGAAAAGGAGCTTTAAAGGTACCTGAAATTCTTGTTATACATGCAATTCTTTTTATATATGGACATACACAAATTTTGAACACTGAGCTGTAATTATAAGTACTTTGAATTTCATATTTACTAAACTTTTTCACAGCCAAAAGTGTTATTTCATTTTATTAAATAACGGATGATCATAGCATTTACATATGTAGCTAAAACATATCTTTGGAAGCTATAATGAACATAAATTAGATCCAGCTGAAAGCAACAGACAGCTACTTCGTATAATTTCTGCAGCACTTTAAAATGATAGCCCAGTTAATCAATGCTGAATTGCAGTGCAAATCTTATATTAATAATTATGACATGTAGTTTTATAACTAATTGGTACACTGTGATGAATGTTATTACAATAAACATCCTGCATTAATTGAACATTATTATTTTATATATTATTTCTATTTCTAACAGAATGATGAATTCTATTGATTAAATAATCTGTTAATACTTCAATGTCGTAGACTATCAGGTTAAATAATGTATGTTTATAAAATGGAAAATTCTTTATCATCAGGATCACGTCAAAATGAATGTTGGTACCCAGGGAGAATCTCATTGAATATAGAATTGTGTGTGAATACAGAGCTGTTAAGCTATTTGTTGGATCATGGGTTCACATTACAGCACAAAAGATGTACTTCCTGTGTATTCCTAATGTATTTCCTTTGTATTTTAATACAGTAAATAATGGTAATACACTAAATGAATTTCAGTTTACACTTAACAAATATGTTTTGGTGGTGGTGAGGAGTTAACCCAATAAAAACTCATTTGAATTGTATTTCCACCTCAAAAGTTATTCTTTTTTAGAATTAATTAGTATGAACCAATCCATAATTATTACATATTAATGTTAATTAAAACTAATTGCTTAGGTGATGGTGAATGACTTAGCCTTATTTCTAAAACTAACCTCTATGAATTAGGGCCCTTCTAGGCATTCAGATAAAGGTGTTGTTAACAACCTTCACGTGAGGTGGAAGGGTGAAAATAATTTAAATGGACCCTTCAGTCATTCAAACCAATGTCAGAAGTTTATTAACTGAAAAAGAACAGCTAGTGAAAGATTAATGCTGAGGATAAGCATAATTTTATGGGACGGGTCTTGACTTCTGGGAAGTGAAGCAAAACAAAGCAAAGCTGTCCAGGCTCATGGTCTCCACAGCAGGAGGTTCTTCCAGATGGCCCAGCAGTCAGGCAAACAGTCCAGCAGTCATCCCATAGTGTTGGACCCAGACTTAATTAGTGCCTAATTAACACCCCCTCCCCCCTGCAACTAAGAGCTGCCCCAATTGTTCAGTTCCAAGTGAGGTGAATCTTGCCCCTCCCCCCACTGGCTAATGAATTGACCAGGCATATATAGCACCACCCTATCAATCCAGCAACTGCTTGTACTATGTTTAAGTATAGAAACTCATGCACAGTTTGGGCCTGCACTGCATCCAGTCCCAGCTGCATCCCTATACTCTCATGTCTTCAGAAATCCACTGGAATACCTCCTTATTGCAATGCCTATTGTGGAGGTGCCCCAGGGTCTGCTTTTCACCTCAGATGGTGACAAAATCCCTTATCCCAATGGTCCAGGTGTGCAACCAGCTATTGGTACTGAAGAAAGACAGGGTGGTCTCTGCCATTGTGCTTGGTAATGCCATTGGATGTGACCAGGTGGGGAGGATCTATACATAGGGTTGCATTGGTGTGGGTCTTGGTGCATGGCTCTGCCTCCCACTCCAACTGAGTTTAGATCTGGGTGGTTGTGTCCCCCTATTCCAGAGTGACTCTAGCTATACTGTCCATACCCCCTGGACACTGGACTTTCCAGGGGCTTTTACCTCAAGATGACTCGCCACCCTTCCAGCTATCATGGGAATCTATCTTCTGGTCCCATATCAATTGGCTGCATTACCCCAAGCCCCAAATTTTCTGGGGCATCTGTTGTTCTGAGGTGTGTGTTATCTCAGGTGGTATCTGATTGTTGCCACTTTTGATATACACACTGCTGGAGTCTGTATATTCTGGAAAGCCAGCGTTAGCAAGCCATCTTCCAGATCCTGAAGGCAATGCAGAAACACAACTCGGATACTGGAATCTCTGAAAGATTTATTGTTATCAGACAGCACAGTAGTTGGTCTGATTAACAATCAATCCAACTGAGTGAAGTTTGTTCTTGAACAGTAGAGTCAACATAAGATATTTATGTTCCCCTACATGTTTACGAGAGACAGGTCTCTAAACCCCTGTGTTTATATTTGCATGCCCTCCTCTCTCATGCCAACTTTAATCTCTCTCTCTGTCAAGATGTTCAGCTTTACTTGTTTATTTTTCCTTTACTTGCTTATGCACCTGCACTTGTAATCTCTGTCTCATTAGTAATTGCTAACTTTTACATTTGCCCTTGAGTTGTTTTAGCTGATGTTTTCATACTACTGTCAGTGTCTTTCTGCTCATTAGTGCATTTTTATTTTTTACTTTTTTACTGGGTCGTCTAGCTGTCAGTAGGCCCATTTCTCCCATACTGCTTTTCAGCACTGTAGCTTACTATAGCTTAGCATAGCTATGGCCTGCACCTTCCACTTGCTGGCTCCTGCTCCACTGACTATGCCTTCCCAAACCCCAAATTTTCATGGGGCATCCATCTGCCAGCCCAGTGAAATTGGCCACCCCCCTCCCAACCTCATATTTTTCTGGGGCATCCACTTCCTGGCTCCAGTGCAAATATCTATGCACCCTAAGCCTCAACTGCTCTGGGGGTTTCTATCTACTGACAACACCCATTCACCCATGCATCAAGCCAACACTGCTTAGAGGTCTACTGGCAGTGGCTGGACCATACACACTCAGGTAAGCCCTAAATTGGGTAGGTCATCCTTACTGCTGGCCAATTAGCAACCATCTGCCCCCTGCTTTGGGTTGGAAATGCTGGCACCCATTTCTGTATACTGAGGTTAGGTCCATGCCAGGGTCCCTAGGTTCTTGGGGGGCTTAGGCCTGGATCTGTCATTGTGAGTGTTAGGTCTATATCTGAATCATGGGGTCCTGGCACTTTGGTCTGTGCCTGAGGCATGAGGATCTTTTGATATATGTGTATATGTTCAGGTTTGTATGTGGGTCTAGGGGTGCTTTGGAATAGGGTTGTGGGGTCTTGTGGGTGTAGGGTGTCATGAGGTCTTTGTCATGTGGAGGGGGAACATCTACTTCATCCCTCTGCATGTCCTTTAGGCCCAGAGTGCAAGGCAAGCCTGGGGAAGGGTGTTGGCTGCGTGTGGCTGGAGGTGCAAAGCAAAGCATCTCCTTGAAGGTAGGGAGTGCCAGAGGAGAGTGGGCTAATACGTAATGACAGGGAAACTCATCTGACAAGGTGTAACTTTAGACTACACACACAATGTTTAGACCAATATGTAAAAGGACACCTAGAGGTTTCTATTGCACTAAGCTTGATTCTATCAATCTAAATGAAACACACATAGTCTGTACGCACCTGTATTCTTACAAGTACAAGAGAACAGTAAGTGGAAGAGCCCTACTGCCAGCTATTTTGGGATAGCTTGCTACCTAGGGGAGGAAGTAACAAAGATAATGAGAGAGAAAAGGTGAAGGCAAAGAACAGAGCTATTGGTCAACTTGGATGCATCAATGGACTTTTTTTATTCTGCAAGAATAACATTTTTTTCCTGAGTGTTAAACTAAGCCATCAAAGAATCCTATCAATAAAAAAGTAAAACAGATAAAAATAGAATCCATTCTGAAAGTGAAAGTGATCCACTATTAGTATTCTAAAATTGAGTCTGCATTTTACCTCATTCTATTTATTATACTCGTCGTGCACCATGTTCACTGATACAGTCCAGCTTGTTGGTACCATTCTGATATAAGCTCTAATAAACCAGATTTGACACTGCTTTTATTTACCCAAGTTTGAGCGTACTAGTGAATCTTATACCATGTTAATACATTCACTAGTTTGGCTTTAATCATTACTTTGCCTAATGACATACCTTGCAGAAGGCCTAATTCTATATTCTCTATGCAAGAAAATTTTCCATTGATGTAAATGGGACACATTTTTGCATATAAAACAGATTTTGTTTCTTAAGGCAAAACTCTTCTTCCACACAGTTAGTTGATTATGCTCTATGTCTGTGAAGTGCAGGGTAAAAATAATGTTAAAATAAAGTTCATATTTTATCTTGCAGATATGCATAGTCCTCCTGAGTCTGGAGAAAGTTTAGCAGTTTCTCCCAAAAGTGATTCTACTGGAGAGCCCATATTTGCCCTTTGCTTAATTCAATGATTGGCAAGCTTTAGCAGTGCAGGATTGTGCCTATAAATGAAAAAAAAATGAAAATAAGCTGTGCTAGTTTCATAGATTTGTTTAGGGATAGTTTATATGATCCATATAATACTTAACACTTACTGATTGATAGCCCTTTTTCTGTCAAAGTATTTTAAAAATATTAACTAATTAGTCAAAGGATAAAACTCGTTTTTCAACAATGTTTCAAGAGCTTAGTGTATATTTTTCTAATGGTTGTTGCTATAAGTCTCTTTGAAGAGGTAGCCCAGAAAGTTAATGTTAATTTTAGAGGTATCAATTTTTTTTAGAGGTACCATTTTTCACATTTTTTCTAGAGCATTTGATATGCAGTTATGTATATATGTGCAGTTGCCATGCAGTTATGCATAAACAATTAATATACTCTACATCTCATGCATATGTAATTATAAAACCAAAACTCTCCGCCTCATATATACATATGTATATGAGACGTAGAGTGTATTACTTGGTTTTATAATTTGATTTTCATTTTCGTAAGTAAAAATAAGAAACAATTGGGTTTTTTTAGTATTTCTTCCCTTTTCCAGACAATTTTTTCATGATAGATTGGCATTAGATACATAAAAGGGAAAACTCTAACTGCCAAAAGAGGTGCTGTAAATTCTGATTTGTATCATTCTTGTAAGAATTGTGTGGAGTGAAATAGAAATGGAAAATTATCTACTATTGACCTGTAGTTTTCTATGTTATAATTATTTCCTTTTTCTTTTCTGATGGGGGACATCTGTTTTAAGTATGCTTCTTTTCATTCATTGCAAGAAAAAAGTATTTGTTTCAACCCTGAGATTTATAATGACAGATAGAGACATAGTCAGCCATGTTAGTCTGAAGCCAAGCAGGCAGCCAGGTAGATTAGTATCTTATATATATCTACTTTGGTTCATTTAATAACATATATAATATAGCACAAGCTCATGTGGGCTGAAGCTCACTTCTCAGCCTCCCCTGGGTCCATAGCTCTAACAATTCATATTTGATTGAAGAATTTCAGCAATCACTCCATTTTTTTCTTTGCTAGCAAAAGTTGTAGCACAAAATGTATTTTTTCCTGATATGTACCTAGGGATTAGTTTAATATACCTCACTTGCCCTTTAACATGCCACACAGCAGTGGTGTACTGAACTTGACAGCAGAAACATGACAGTGTCTTGTCTATCAATTTCTGGCAGGTGTTTGACTAGGGTAATATGAGAGGTTGGCATATCTTCCTGGAGAACCCGGGAAGGTCTGTATAAAAACTTGTCATCATATAGAAAAAGAACATGACAGAACACATAATAATGAACAGCCCCTACTCCATGTTATGATTTTTCTCTTGTTTGTGTCCAAGAAAAAGCCTAAAAATCAAGTTTAGAGACAAGTCTCTCTCTAATCTCATTCTACTCCCAACAGTGCTAAACTCTCCTAGAAAGGGGGCCTCTGTTGCTGATGTCAATTTTTTTGTAATGGTCACATACCTTTGCCTAAAATTAAACCCTTTTTCCCCAGATAAAAAGCAACAACAGAAGCAAATGACTCACACGATAAATACATAATTGGAAGGCAAGTCATCTCTTTGCTTTAAAAAAATATTTAATATAATTAGCCTTATTATTTTATAATTTTAATGACAATTTTTGAACTATATTAAAATGATTTTACTCACACTATTTAAATTATCAAAAAACAAGCTTATCTGCTACTGAACTAGCCACCAAACTACTGAACCATGTTTTCACAAACATCACTAACTTGCAATCAAGAAAAAATCCTTCTCCTTTGAAATAGAAGCCCCTGCATCAAACCACTTTTCCACTAAACAATGTGCCTCAGTACTTGTGGATTAGCTCAATTATTTGCATGTGTAATAGCTAGTGCTAGTGCCTGTCGCAGGGCACAAAGGTGCCCTATTCCTAGAAGGGTGGAAACTGCCTGGGGGAAAAGCCCAAAGAGAGAGAAACAGAAGCCCAGGTGCAAGTTACCAGGGCAACAAGCCAGAGGGTAAATTAGCCTGTACCTGCACCTGCACATGGTCAGGTGACTGGAAGGGACAAGGCTCTGGGCCCATATAAACCCCAAGACCTGGCCCAGGCAGGGCAGTTCCCTGCCAGCAGCCAAGGGGGAAGGAGCTTTCCCAGAGCAAGCAAAGGGGAAAGGTCTGTCTGCAGAAGCAGCTTCTGACACTATTAAGGGACAGAGCATTTCCCAGTAGGATTTGAATGAGGTTATACCCAAGCAGCTTGAATTTATGTTACAGCCCAGGGGCTTGTGTTTTGTTTATTGTTGTATAAGACCAGTGGTTTGGGTGAAGCTATTAGGGGATGGAGGAGGTCTCATAGTGGGCCCATGGCAATGTGGGGATCCTGGTGCCAGAGAGGGCACGGCATGTGGGGTGTACCAATTTCAGTGCCAGAGAGAGCACGGCCGTGGGGTGCACAGACCCCAGGTGCCAGAGAGGGTGCAGCACTTTGCAGGGCCATAGAGAGCCCAAGTGCTAGGGAGGCACCGAGCAAGGCAGGGCCACGGAGAGCCCAGGGATGATGAGGGAGCCAAATTGCAACAAGGCCCTGACTGAACAACGTTGGTACCATCTGTGAGGCTTGGGGCATGGTAAAGGGATGATTGGAGCCACGCCTAGCCCATAAGGCTAGGGTGCCCTGAAGCCCCTTTGTGACATCTATCTTGGAGCGGGACCCATCAGGGGTCCAGAAACCCACAGGGTCCAGAGAGTCAATCAAGACCATGTCCAAGAGGACTGAAAGGCAGCCTCCCTATCAATCATTCAATCAAAAACATGGCGGGTGAGAATCGAGGGTGCCCATTGGGCCAACTTGGCATGGTAAGGAGGCCTTGGGGAGATCATGGCCATCCCATAGGACCCCCATCCCATGACGGTGCCTCTGAATAACAATCCAGCAGCACTATCACATCTATTGTATCACCATCTAGGGCTTTGGCCCTTTTAGATTAGTAATAAGCCACCATAGTTGTAATTTTCACCCATATATCCAAAGTACTTCAAGAGCCATATCTGCAGGTAGAATGAGGTTTTTCTCCCCCCTTTTTTTTCTAATTTGTTTTTTTGTTGTGTGTTTGTCTTCAGAAAGACAATCCCTGGTTCATTTGAAGTCATGTTAGAAGCTTGGATTTGATCCATTTGTCAGATGAAAAGAAAATCTGGCATTGTGTGAAAAGATCATCTAGTATATGGCATTGAATCCATTAAGCAGCTTTTATTTCTATTAAAATTCAAATTATAAACTAAAGCAATAAAAAATCTGTTTCTTAGGGTTTACTCCTTCAACTCATAATAAAACTTGTATTTTACTAAATTTTCATTCAAAGAATCATTCAATTAGTCTAGAAATTTCCAACAACAGACTATGACCAGAAGTCAAGATTTTAAAGAAAGTTTTCTAGAATAAATTGAGTTCTCCTTAGCATACTGTGGCTAAATGATTTTGGCTCAGTGTTGTATGGTATAATAAGCTACAAATATACCTATTAAAACAATCTATTCTGAAGTTCCAACATTATGATTGAGCCCAAATAAGAATGCCAATATCCTCCCTTATGTTGACAATTATGCTTCATACCAAAAACAACAGTAGCAGAAAACAACAACAAAAACTATGTACAGTAAAATATGTTATATTGTTAACAGTGTCTCTCTCTCTCATATATGGCTAGACTTGATGTGCACTCCTCAGATAAAAATTATCCTAAATGTTTATAATGCCATGCTGTCTGCTGCCTGCCAATACATAAATACCTTCAGAATGTTTTGACAATCCATGCTTACAGGTTACCAGATCCTCCTTATATTATTAATGTGTAAATAGAAGTAATTATTATTTAAAATATGCTAAGATTAGATAGAAATTTGTTTTTAAAGTTTAAGGACCTTTTTCCCAAGCCAAAATCTTAAGTGCCTTTTAGTGAAGTCCCTGTTTTATATAATATGTTAATGTCACTGTGTATTGGTTGTAGGTATTATATGGTTTGAGACCCCCTTACCCAGGGATTTCTGCCCTACTGTTGGCAACAGGCTGTTCAGTCTTCCTACCTGATGTTATATTGTTACTAAAAATTGCCAACAGTTCAAATTAAGAACGAGATCTTAAAAAGGGGGGATAAGGCAAAATGCTGTGTTTATTGATTACATGAAACAGATGCATAAGCTTGGACACACCGGTCCTACAAGCAGACATACACAAGCAGACATACAAATAGACATACAGACAAAACCACTGCAGTAAGATATTATAGTTACCAGCAAATGTTACTCAGTATTAGCACTGGATGGCCGGGTCCAGGCTTATTGAGGATATGAGCGGGGTAATACAGGCATGCATGCCTGTGCTCCATGAAGTTGAAGAGAGTGAATTCCCCATCATGGCTTGTCTGCCTCTCACTTTTTTAGGGGTTTCAAGGCCTTGTTCAGCACTGGGGTTGTTCCATGCTCAGTCTTTAATAAGAGGTTGTTTCTTCTGGTTTTCTCAACTTGGGGTCGTTCCACTAAAGTTGGTTATCTCAGAGTTGGTAGTTCAGTCTTGATCTTTGCCATGAAGCATTGTGTCTTTGAAGCATTGTAGTTGGTATTTTTCCCTTAAAGTATTGTGTAGTTCAAATAGTAAGATATGCAAAATTCCTTTTTCTTTGTACCTGATCACAGATGAACTCTTCAGCCATCCATTAATTAGCTTAATTAGTTTACTGTCTGGTAACTTATACATTGGCACCTTGTTGCTTACACAATCAGTTAAATCTTCTTCTGTTTTCATGCAAATAGTTACCATTCTTTCACCATTCCCCCTCTCACACAGACACTCACATACACAGGGCATACGAAGTTCATCTACTCATGTCAAGCAGGGAACAAGCACAAAATAGAGTTTTAGTTGTTCATACAATTATAGAGGTTGATCAGTTCAATATTATTATCATTTAAACATGGTAACTAATATGCAAAAATTCATACTAAAATATTTCTTTCCTGCCATGACTTTGCTGTAAGATACAGGAGGCATTTCCCCATATGTGATGTTGCTGGTAGGTGTTGTAGGGCTTTGGTGCCCTCTTTGTTGGTGCCTTACCCCTAATGATGTCAGGGTGGGACCCAGTTTCAGTGCCATCTAGATGGTCTGGGCACTACCCTTTTTCACCTGCCACATCGTTGATGTTGTTGTTGGGGAGGGAGTTCCCTGTTGGTGACCTGAGGGGAGTCTCAGCCCTGGGGGGTGTCTTTGTGGGGCTCCAAACCTCCCCTTTACTCCAGCTTTATGAAGTGCTTGGCCTGGGTACATGCTGCTCCCTGGAGGTCTTCCCTCACTGTCCATTCTGGAAGGGACGGGCCTTCCTGGCTGTCAATCCTCAGTGGTCCGGCCCTTGTCTCTGGGCCAGCTTCCCCTCTTCTGGGAAAATAAACCTGACCCGTCTGGGACAAAACTGTAACTTAAAGCTGAAAACAACAGGCTCATACTGGTGGGGCTCCCAAGATTCCCTCTCTCAGGGCCCTCAATCCCTTGGGGAGACTCGTCTGTCCCCTTTCTCTTAGTAGGCAAGAGTACAGGCAACGATCCTGTGCCCAGCCTCGACCAGTTCTTGTGGTGTCACCTCCTTGGGGCCTGACTGACCTGTGGTTCAGTTGTCCTGGTCCTTCCAGCTAGCATCACCTACTTCCCTCTTCTGGAGGCTCACGATCCTCTGTTCTCTGCCTATTCCAGGGCTGTCTTGGGACACCTGCAGGCTTGAGAAGCCATCCTGAGACATGGTGCCCAAACCCCTGGTCGGAGCCTTGCTGTTGCCTAACGGCACCCCTTGTGGTTGTTACCCCTCTGTGAGGCTCCCTTGCTGCTGTTGGTCCCCAAGGCTGCTCTCTGCCTCGCTGGTCAGGGTCCTCTGGCAGATGCCTGGCTCCTTCTTGAGCTGCCTGGAGTTGGAGCCACCGGCTCCACAGCCGGTGCCTTCCCACTGGCGTTCCGCTCCCAGCTTCCCAGCGCCAGCTCAGCTGGTTCCCCAGCTGCCTTTTGAGCAGCCCATGCTACTCAGAAGCCACACCCCCAGCCTTCACTGATACACAGGCTCAGGCAGCTGTGGGACTGCTGAGCATGTGCCTGCATCTCCTCCCAGCTGCCACTTATCCTGGCTCCTAAGGTAAGTGCTAGGGCACGTTGGTCAGGGGTCTGGGCCATGCTGGGAGGCTTCTGCCTTCCCTCTCGCACGCAACCTTCCAGCTCTTCCCTTGTTCTCTTCATGGGGCTCCAAAAACCTCCCCTTTACCCCATCCTAACCACATCCAGACTCCAGTGGAGATGGATATTGTCTGGACTCTCTGATGTCTCTAATGGCCTGTAGTCTCTATAGCCACTGTGGTAGCAACTGTCTACTTGTCTATCCTTGATCCAATTATAACTTGGTTCCTGTTGAGTCTCAGCTGTTGCCAATTAAACAGCTCAAGCCTTAAATCCCAGTCCTGAGCCCAAATGCTCCAAAATCCAACAATGCACCATGGGGAATGCCCAATGTCAGCTTACCACACTGGCATCGATTCTGAATTTCTTTCCAATCTGGGATCTTCTGAGCTGTGCATTTTACTGCTCTGGGAATGTTGTGTAAAATCCCTGTGGCAGTCCTGTAAGGCTTTATTGCCCACCAGTCCTTATTTGAAGGGCCCAGTCATAAATTCTGAGGCCTCCTGTAACCCCATGCCCTAGTACAGATCTTGGAGCTTGGGGAAATGCAGAGACCCCAAAATCTCCCCTTACCCCTGAGTCTGATAATGCTGTCTAAGGGGCCTGTTCAGGCTCAGCACTCTGACCTTGTTTGGTCCTCCTCCACCCAGGGACCCTCTGACCTGAAATTGGTCCTGGTGTCTCCAGTTTGGCTGCAAGTGCTGGTGCCCAGATCAGCCAATTGTCCTGGTGGTAGGATGGTGCTCCTCCAAGCACCCTACTGCTTTGTCTGGGTGAACTACTTGGCTGCAGCCTCTGGCTGTCCCTTGACTGGAGGCAATTCAGCCTGCTGCTCCAACTGCCTGCTGCTGCCATCACTGTGTCCCACTCCAGGGTCAAAAGTACTGTTCAGGAGGCTCCCCCCACTAATCCAGAGATTTAAGCTGCTCTGGAAGTACCGCAACATTCCTGGCATACTGTTCCCAGAGCTGCTTAGTGCCATGGGAAGTTGGGATGATGACTGTCCCTTTCTTCCTCTCTTTCCTCATGCAATGCTTTTTACAAGTAATAATTTTAGGTACAAAATTATTATTTAAAGTTGTAACTCATTAATCACATCTTAAGTTATGACCCATCTATACAGTCAATCAATTAATGGCATGATTAAAATGAGCCACAAAGTTATTTTACAAAAAAATGTAATAACTTTGTGCCTCATTCTTATAATGCTGTTAATTGAATGTGTAGCAACTCACATGGCTAGAATCCTCCAGAATTCTTCTGCACTTGCATTAAGGCTTGATTGGATCTGATACTGCATGCCACAATCACACCCCGTATCATTCACATGTGGCATGGCAAAGGCATGACTGTGTGGGTCATGCATCAGGTACTACCACACTGTAGGCTGTATGTAGGCCTGTGTGACATGAGCTATGGGTATGCTGCTGCCATACTTAGCCATAGTCCCTTTGAGAATGGTAAAGTGACAAAAGCAGGCCTGAAGCTTGTCCTTGAGTGATGTATCCTAATGTGAATATTTGCAGATGCTGTGGCTAGGTTGGTCAGCAGAACAGAGAAAACAGTCCATTTATCTAACTGAACAAATCAGTAGGGGCTATATAAAAAAGCTGCATGAGTACAGGTCCATGGGGCTGGATGGGATGCACCAAAGGGTCTGAGGGAGCTTGCTGATGAGATCATAGAGCTGCTGGCCATCATTTTTGAGAACTCCTGGAGATTAGGAGAGGTCCAAAGCCAAATGGATGAAGACCCAATTTATAGAATCACAGAAAATTAGGATTGGAAGGGACCTTAGGAAATCATCTATACCAACCCCCTGCTCAAAGCAGGACCATCTCCAACCACATCATCCAAGCCAAGGCTTTGTGTAGTTGGGACTTAAAAACCTCAAAGGATGGACATTCCACAACCTCTTTGGGTAACCTTTTCCAGTGTTACTACCTTTCTAGTGACAAAATTCTTCCTAATATTTAACCTAAACTACCCGTTCTGCAATGTGAAACCATTGCTCTTTGTTTTGTCATCTGCCACCACTGAGAACAGTCTAGCTCCATCCTCTTTTGAACCCCCCTTCAGGTAGTTGAAGGCTGCTATTAAATCCCCTCTGTCTTCTCTTCTTTAGACTAAATAAGCCCAGTTCCCTCAGCCTTTCCTCATAAGTCATATGCCCCAGCCCCTGAACCATTTTTTCTGCCATCCACTGGGACTCTCTCCAATTTATCCACATCTTTTCTTTAGTGGGGGCCCCAAAACTGAACATAGTACTCCAGATGTGGAATCACCAGTGCTGAATAGAGAGGAATAATTACTTCCCTTGACCTGATGGCAACACTCCTACCAATGCAGCCTAGTATGCCATTAGCTTTCTTGGCAACAAGGGCACACTGTTGGCTCATATTCAGCTTATTGTGCACTGTAACCCCAAGGCAGCCTTCCCGTTAAGCTGTGCAGCATGTGGCCCAGCTTGTGTGTCTGCTTCAGGGGCCTTGAAGGAAACATTGTCACAAACAGGGTTTTAGAAATCAATTAACCCTTGCGATACCCCCTGGACCATTATTCTAATGCATATCTACTTTACCTACAAGCGAGTTCCCAAAAGCAGACTTCTAAATACCATTTTCTAGCCATCACAGCTAGAGTAGAATCACTCTTTGTCCTCAGAGGCCCTGACAGTGATGCAGAGACCACCTGCAAGTCCCCTAGTCCCAGCATAGGGAGTTACAGAGAGAACAATACATGTGATGGAGCTCTGCTCTGATGTGCTAATTAGCATGCATAGGAGCAGATTCAATTAATTGAGTCTGTTGCAAGTCTGCTGCAGAGGGCATATTAGCACACCCCTGCATCAGATGTATTACGTGTCCCTGCTTTTCAAAAGAATGGTGGGGGTGCTTTAACTAAAGTTCTTTGAATGAGCTTTAGTTAAAGTGTCATTTTGAAATTCAGGATGCTAAATATATATGATGCTGTGAGTTCTTTAAATAGAATGGCTCTGAGACCTGCACTAATTAAAGCACCCCCCACCTCTCCTCCACTCCAGAACATGTGTACAGGTGGTCCTTGGACTTATGACACACTTGGTTTCTGAAAACCACATCTTAAGTCGAATCATCATAACTCAGAACCAATTTTCCCATAGGAACAATGTTATAAATGGGGGATTAGTTCCTGAATCAAGGCCCAATACCCTATTTTCACCAAAAATACCCCAGAATTTTGTACTCAATTAATTATAGATGAGTAATGTACCTACATTAATGTATTCATATTGTAAATAGCAATCATATTGATTTGGCAGGACTTTTTTGAGATGACTTTGCTGGACTTTTGA